GCAACAACTTATCACAAACTGGTAGAGAGGAATAGGATTTTTGAGTTCTTGGTAGGGCTGAACCCTGAATTTGACATTGCTAGGCAGTATATTCTTTCTAGGGAGGGTGTGACACTCTCTCAGGCCTATGCTTTTGTCTTTGGAGAGGAGAGTAGGATGAATGTAATGCTGAGACAACCTGAGATTGACCAGTCGGCTATGGTTGTTACAACAAAACCTAAACCGGATGGAGACAGGGGGAGTAGTGAGACTAGAAGGGAAGATAAGAAGGACTTTGTGTGTAATTATTGCAAGAAGCCTAAGCATACCAGGGACACTTGTTGGAAGCTTCATCCAAATCTTATGCCTGTTCGGATAAGAAACAAGAAGGGAAATGCAAATGTAGCCACTATAGGAGACTCTTCAGCCCCTCTCTCCCAAACTGATTGGGGAATCCATTGCAGTAGCAGCAGTGATAATAGAATTGGAGAGGTTTGGACAGCTTATGAGTAAGAAAGGTTCACCCAGCTCTAGCCTTCCCGATGGACAACAGAATGCAGGAGCCAACTACACCACTTCCTTTGCACATACAGGTAGTCCATATGCAATTGCGAATCTTGCATCCACTTCAGGTAAGGAGGGACCTCCTTGGATTATAGACCCAGGAGCATCTGAGCATATGACTAATGCCCCTACCATTTTCAGTTCCTATCAGTTGTGCTCTGGTAGAGACAGAGTCTCTACAACAGATGGTTCACATATGCCTATTGCTGGGAAGGGGACAGTTAGAGTGACCAATGATATAACTCTGTCCTCTGTTTTACATGTCCCTAGACTTCATACCAACCTACTGTGTGTTAGTTCTTTGATAAAAAAATTGAATTGTTCTGTGACCTTTCTTCTTGGTAATTGTGTTTTGTAGGATTTGGAGTCAAAGAAGATGATTGGGAGTGGCCGTGAGGTGAATGGTGTCTACCTTCTGGATGAGATTCCGAAACATTAGGGCCATCATGTTAGCAGTAGCATTAGTAGTTGGTCAGAGTTAGTAAACCAGATTATGCTTTGGCACAATCGCTTGGGACATCTTTCTTTTAATTCTTTGAAATGTCTTTTCCCAAAGTTGTTTGGGTTTGTTCAATTATCTACTTTGGAGTGTGAGAGTTGTCAGTTAGGAAAGCATTGTAGACAGTCTTTTAAACTAAGTAATAAAAGAAGTACTTTTGCTTTTAATATTGTTCACACTGATGTATGGGGGGCATATCAAATCTTTCCATTGGGAGGATTCCGTTACTTTCTCTTGTTTGTGGATGATTATACACGTATTCTTGGCTATATTTGATGAAATCACGTGATGAGGTTCTTAACTTAGTACACAATTCCACCAGATGATTCTCACACAATTTGGAGTGAGAACTAAGGTTTTTAGATCAGATAATGCCAGAGAGTACTTTGAGAAGGATCTAACCACGTATCTCTTAGAACATGGTGTAGTTCATTAGAGCAGTTGTGCATATACACCGCAATAGAATGGAGTTGCTGAGAGGAAAAACAGACACATTGTGGAGGTGGCAAGGAGTCTTATGGTGCGCGCTTCAGTCCCTGTGCAGTTATGGGGAGATGCAGTTCTTATAGCCGTACATGTGATTAACCGTGTTCCTTCATGGACTTTGGGGTTTAAGGTGCCATTTTGCCTCATTTTTCCAGATGGAGAGATATTTCATATACCTCCGAGGGTTTTTGGCTGTGTTTCTTTTGTTCACATTCTTGGCCCTCATCGTAAGAAATTTGATCCTAAGGCCAAGAAATGTGTTTTCTTGGGTATGCTCAGAACCAAAAGGGGTATTGCTGTTATGACCCATTGTCGAGGAGCAGGTTTGTCACTATGGATGTTACCTTTTTTGAATCCACATTCTTCTTCTCGAGTGGTTCTCCTAAGGGGGAGAGTTTTGGGGAGGAGAACTCACAATCTGTTCCTCTTCCTGTTTCTGTGGTGCCTCCATCAGTTCAGCCAGCACCTGCACCATCAGTTTAGCCAGCATCGGTTCAGCCACCACTTGCACCTCTAGTTTCATTACTTGAGCCACTACGGGCAGCCTCACAGCAATATCAGCGCCGACAGATGATGGTTGACTCCACACATCCTTGACCCACACCACTCTTTGTTAGTCCTTTTGAAACTCCAGATTCGGCAAATACAGTTCCAAGTATTCTTCTTGAGCTTGTTATGTTTTCTGATGATAATGTTTCAGTCCCTAACACCACTATTGCAGCTGATCCCATTGACCTTGATCTTCCCATTGCATTTCGTAAGGGGAAGAGAAAGTGTACAGCCCACTGCATTTCACACCATCTTTCCTACAATGCCTTATCACCCTCCTACCGTGCTTTTCTTTCTTCCTTGGATTCTGTGTTTATACCCAGGAATGTTACTGAGGCTCTCTCCAAACCTGAGTGGAAAACAACCATGCAAGATGAGATGGATGCTTTGGTCAAAAACCAAACTTGGGAAATAGTT